TGACACTTACATAACCCGTTTATATTCATTTAAATTAATTGTATAACTTTAGAATTTGGACGGAGAACCAATCAATCCTATTTTACAAATTTTATGTCAAGTTCATATCGTGTCAAAATTACGGCTAATGCAATACAGTAAGAGGAACCATGATAATTAACAGCCACGAGTGTCATCAGTCGCAAAATAATACAAATTATCTTCAATCACAACACGACAAAATACAACCTCTAACCCAAAAATAATTCATTCACAAAATTGGCAACCAATTTCCACTTGCTGGATCTTATGACGTACACAAAGATTCAACAAGGTAAAACATCACAGGCATAAAATTGTGGGATAATATCACCTTGCACCTTAGAAGATTACTTGAATTTTAATTTACACTATCAGTTTAAAAATATTAATTTATACCCTAAAAATCATAAATTTATATAAATGTGCACCTGAGATCAACTGTCATCCATTTTGCAGTTAAAATTTTTTTGACTAATTATAAATTACATCCTTAAAGTTTAAATATTTCATATTTATGATCCAAAAAGAATTTTTTTCATTAATGCTTGTTAAATAGCTCTCAATTGTATCGTGTCATAATATTTTCATGTCATATTCGTGTCAGTAAAAAATATTTTTAAAATTTAAGAAAACATTACAAAATACCTATTTTTTACTTGCAATACTTGTTAAATTATCATAAATGTGAAATATACGACACAACGAAATTATTTTGTGTTTAAAATATTTTTTTATTGACTCGAACATAACACAAAAATGATACGACATAACACAAAATAACATGATAAGACACAATTTAGAGGTATTTAACCAATATTAATGGATGTATTTCTTTTTTAATCAAAAATCTGAAATATTTAAACTTTGAAGGTAAAATTTGTAATAATCCTAAACTCTTTTTAACGGCAAAATAGATGATAGCTAACACCCGGTGTACATTAATGTAAATTTATATATCTCAGGGTGTAAATTAATATTTTTAAATTTTAAAAATATAAATTAAAATTCGAGTGATATTTTAAGGTACAAGTAGCAATTTAGCCTTAAAATTGTAATTACCAAGCCAGAATCAAAAAAAGCTTTGCCAACTCTTTCTTCTCTCTCTCTCTCTCTCTCTCTCTCTCTCTCTCTACCTGTGATATAAACCATCGTCAGCATACCAAGGACCAGTCATCATTTTCTTTTTGGCTCTGCAGCACTGTGTCAATGATTATTGAGTGGGAAAAAAATTAAATAAATTTTATATTATTGGATAAAAAAAATGAAAAATTGATCAATCTTAATTGCTATTATGTTTTTAAAAATTAAATATTTAACTTCATAATTGTAATACTAGATAGATAACTATGTTTTTTGACTAGAAAGAGAATGTGTATACTAGCAAAAAGAGGTAGCAACATAATTTTTTGTGGGTTAATTATATTGGAGGTTCCAAAGTATGAAATTTGTCTCATTTTAGTTTTCAATATTTTGATTGCATCATTTTGATCCTTAAAATATAAAAATATGTTTTTATATGATCCTTCAAGCAGTCAACGTCCAAATTATTAACGATTTTTTATCATAAACTTGTCACGTAATACTTAAATATGAAAAATAAAATAAAATTTGATAACTCTTAACAAAATTTAGATAATTCTTGATAAAAATTGTGTAATATGGAATAGTTTTTGATCAAAATTTGGATAGCTCATGATTAAAACTGTATAATTTTGGTAACTATTTGACCAAAATTTGAGTAAAAATTTGGTTAAAAGTTTTACAAATTATTTTTTTGTCCATATTTAAATATCACATGACAAGTTTATAATAAAAAATCGTTAACAATCTAGACATTGTCTGTTTGACAGACCATATAGAAACATATTCAATAATTTAGGGATTAAAATGATGTAATTGAAATATTAGGGATCAAAATGAGACAAACATCGTACTTTAGGGACTTGCAGTGTAATTAATCCTAATTTTTTTGTTGAGTGATATGTTTGTGCTTATTTCTGTTTTATTTTTAATCTCACCACAATAACTTTACCCCTGGTTGGTTGCCACCGAATTCATTAGCGGCTCCCATGATAGCCTCTTGAATCAAGTAGATTTTATTGTATTGAGCTCCTCTCCAATTTTTAAATAAGTGCGAAGATATTCAGAACATCAAATTCAGGCTATGTTAAATTTACAATTCGATAATGTGGACGGACGAGATTCAAATGTATAATCTCTTACTCTACTATCATGTCAAACCAAAAAAAATATACTAAAAGCATAAGCTTAAGTTTAGAAGACTTTATTCCCATCTTTGCATAATTTTTTGGACAAATTTTATTTTATACTCGAAAAGGTTTAAAAAATTTATTTGGTACTCTTAAAGATTAAATTTTTCACATTTGCATTATAAGTATTAAATGTAGCCTTGCCGTTAGTTTCAGTGATTTTTGTATTTAAAATTTCTATTTTTCTGATAAAGATTGAACAAGAAATTGTTTTTTTACAACAAATTGAAGTTAAAATGGTAGTATAATTCTCTATGTATTATGTGATATTCTAATTTTTTATCAATTATGAAATCATAGGTTGGTGGTACATGTAGTTACTTTCTATGGATCGACCCCCCGATGTGTAACTGATCACGCCAAATTATACCCGATTTGTTGCGTCGTGTTACAAGTTTAGAAGAATAGTTGTAGAGAAGCAAAGAAAGGGATAGAATGCTTTGGTTCTACCTTTTTGGTTCCTAGTTTGTCATGGTGGTTCTGTATTGCTACATGGGTGATTATAAACAAAAAGGGAAACAAAAGAATTTTTATGGGAAACTCATTCAACGAAATACCTCATTTTTTGCGCAACTGATAAACCTTCTTCCAAGGTTTAAATTCGTCCAAGAGGTCTTTGTTATAGCTGTGCGGCCACAGTAACATAATGCTTGCATTTTTCCCTCTTCTTCCACTTCCCAATTTTTCTGTTTTTCTTGCCCTTGGTCACAGATCTTTACCTACAGTGAAGATCTGTGACCTTAAATGTAGAAGACAACCACAAAGGAAGTGCATTTGAGCGCCAAAATGGTTCATTTATTGGTTTGCCCTTTTGAGTTATCACGTGTTTTGCACGTGTGCATAAAAAAAAGGGCAAATTGAACAGCGATTAGGTGTTGAACCTAATTGTTACCGTTTTATTTCTTTCAAGGTGCAATGTGAGAATTTTTATTCTTCAAGGTGTAAATTGATAATTTAGCAATCTTACAGGGTGCAAAGTGAAATTAACCCTTTTATAAATGCCGCAGAAGAACTCATATGATCCTCGCGTGCTAGACTACCAGGCTCCTTTGTCGACAACATTACTGCACCTTGAACATGACACGATCATTTCAACTCAAGGTCCAGCGATAGGATATTTTTCGTAGTAATAGTATGGGGTCTCATTCCTGATCGCTGAAATCAAAGGAACGTTGAAGGGGATTCATTAAGGGGCATAGATTTTAGACCTATTTGTTCGGTCAATCACCAAAGCCAGGGGAGAACCACCATGGACAAGACCCCCGACTACGCAAAGAATAGAGGCCAAGGGCCAGCCGCAGCAGAGCAGCAGGGCATAGCATCGCGCCCTAATGCTCTGTTATCTGTATTCTCAATCAATTATCCACTTCGATGGCAGTGTCAATAAATTCAAAAGATCTCAACAACAAAGAACAAGAGCAGCATATCCCTAGTTTTTAATGTCCAGAGATTGTATCAGGGAAACATTTCATTTACATTGATAATGGGACATATCTGAAATACTCCGAGATGAAGACACGTGTCCTCGGTGTCATTAATCCTTGCTACCGAGATCACGTACCCATCGGGTCACAAGTCCCCTCTCCCCCGAGGTACTGATCATGGGGATCGAGTGGCATCTAGTACGTTTTTATGTACTGACACGTACCCTCGGTCTGATATGGTACATCGGTAGTTAGGCCTCCCCCTCTCGGCTTCAAGATGTACATATTCCTCGGCTCCGAGATGTACCTATTCCTCGACTCCGAGATGTACCTCTTCCTCGGCTCTGAGATGTACCTCTTTCTCGGTACCGAGATGTACCCCCCTCGTCCAGGATGTCGTTCTCTGCTCCAGCAGAGGCTATTGATGCACTGGTCACTAGCCTAGGCTAGGCTAGGTTAGCTATCATGACCTCGTCTTACACAATTGGTGTCAGAAGGCACAGGAAGGTAGGGGCCACAGCTAATGGGGAATGGACGCGTGGCATATTGTGTTACATCAGAGACAAAAAGACCGCATGACCTTGCTGACACGCGACTTGGGAAAACAAGCATTTAATTACATCATTCCCTTGATGAGACTGCATTCAATGCGGTAAGGCTCGGAAGTGAAAGACAATAAATGTCTCTAAGGCTGGACATTTATTGCATCCTCCCCGAGAGGAGATCATTGAACCGTCGGCAAGCCGATAACACAGTCTTGATTGCTCGGGGTCCCGAGCAGTTAAAAGAGAAGACATTGCTCATAAGAATCAATGTGCACGTTGTCTGTATCTAATGATCACCTACTGACCACACTGACAGCAATCATAAGTATTTGAGGTATAAATACTTCTCACTAAAGGCAAGGAAAAAGAGGTGAAACTTTTGCTACAAATTATACTCAGTATTTTCTTCTCCCTCTCTCTCAAAAACTAACTTGATCGTCGGAGGGGATACGCCGGAAAACACTCCGGCGCCCTTCTAACTTGTTCTTCTTTGTTTCAGGAACCTTTCTTCAGCCTTACTGGATCATTCTTTTGATCCGCAAAGGTTGCCCATTACCGTCCCAGGTTACCATCGGATCTCATAGGTTGTTCCAAGCAGCGTGGTTGACCACTCAACTGATTTACTCGAGTTCACCAAGGGAGAGATCTGTTCTCATTTTTATATTGTGCAAGATCTAGCGCGCACAATTGACTAGTAGCTTTAAATGTTCGGCCAATGCCAATAAACCGCTAAATCTCAGTTACAACTTACCACTGGCTAGTGCATCGCCATGATGTTCAACTACTTGTAAATGCTCCAAGCACTCTACAACTTCCTTCATAGTTGGACGGTCAGGGGGAAAATAAGTTACGCAGCGCATCCCCAGCTGTGTTATTATCGGAGCATCAGGACCATAATAACCCAGGTCTTTCTCCACGCTACTGTGGACAAGTGAACCATTGGGCTTGTACACACTGTTGGCCCATTCATCTACCAAAATATTCTCCTGTCTCCACTCTCCCTTATGCAACTTCACTTCTTCAAAAAGTCTTTTGGCTATATGCCCCAGAACAATAACACCATATGAAAATACATCACATACTATTCCCCTCGGTCCACCTATATATCAAGCAACACAATCATTGTAACTATCATGCAATATACTGACCAACTTGGTTTCCAAAACAAGATAACAGCAAACCTGATTAGTCAATAATATTTTTGACCCAGCGTGTCTCTTCGTGCACGTTATGCTGCTTAACTGATTTGCTTCAAACGAGAGCTGAGAGCATGCATGCATGGAATTTTGTAGTGCAAAGAAATGATTTTGCTGCATCTTGTTATCACTGGTGTTGGACCAATTTTTTCCAAATAGGTGACTATATAAGGAATACATTTAGAATGCAAACCCATGTTCACATGTTGGTCCACAAGTATTCAACTACTGCCAACTTCAGGTAATATTTTGATTGTAAAATGGCGTCGTGTTCTCCATAAAGTTATAGGTCAATATACAACTAACAATTCATAATGAAACTCCAGATGTAATATTTTCCATACACATCACCAAGTAAAGGTGAACCGTGTCGACTTTTTAATAGGAGTGTCCCTTCTCTCTTCTAAATTAGTATTATTTAATTAAGAAACATATTCATTAAAGAGACGACTTGAGTTGATCCAAGCCTCTGTTGGTGATCTGATCTAGTTCTTTTGCAATGAAAGACTCGAAGAACAAGAGAGAGTAAAATACCGACAGCAAAACATGAATCAATGTAGCCTGGAAGACATCGGTATAAATAGTTTTGGAAAGCTTATTTCACCAATGATCCCTCCACTCAACAGTCCAAAGTCGAATAAGATCGGATTGCATTCCTAAAGATCAAACAATGACACCATAATAGTAAAACAAAGACAAAGAAGCTTCAAAAATGAAGTGTGATATAAAGGATATTCAACTTACTTGATCAAGCATTATATGATGAGCATCAATATTAAAGACCAGGTAAGGCTTTTCATGACCGTGAAGAAATTCAAAGAGATGTGCAAATCCAAGAGCAACCTTAATCCTCTGGAGCCAATTGAAATCATCTGGATACGTGACAGATATACATCAACAAAAAATCTGCTGTGCGACAACTTATGGTTTTTAAGACAAACTAACCGAGTCAATTAATATAAATCAGCAAAATTAATTTGTCCCTAGCATTTTATTCGGAACATGCCTCAAAGCTCCAGGTTTCGACTTTATTTGAAATATGTCATTGAGAAAATCATAGTATAGATCAATGGTACCATTCATCGTCACGTTCTGCAAAGTATCCAGTGGACAAAGATCATAAACACACTACAACAATTAAGGTTTTTTGTGACAAAATTTTTTGTCACTATAAATGTGTATTTCGTCATTGAAGAGTTTCAGTAATGATATTTTTGTTGTCATTAGGTGGTCACTAGAAATTTGTCAGTAATTGTCTATAGTGACAATTTAGAATAATCATCATTAATTCTATACTTTATAGTGACAACACTCTCTCATCACTTAAAAAATGCATTTAATGACATATAAAATAGTCACAAAAGATTTAAAAGATGTGTCATTAAAAGAGTAATAACATCATTGAAAGTATCAATATAGTAATGAAAATATTTTGTCACTGTAAATTATGTTATAGTGACAATATATTGTCGTCTTTAGAGGTCTATTTCTAAGGACGAATTTTAAATTCATTACCAACTGTGGGTCTTTAGTGTCAAATTGAGATTGTCACAAAATATAGAGCCGTTAATTGTAGAACTATCAGTGATGAAAAAAAGTTTGTCACTAGACGTTGAGATTAGAGACAAATTCTCATTTCATCACTCAAACTCTTTCAATATATATATATTTTTGCAAAACAATTGACTCTTAAAATAATCTGATAAGAGTCATGTAACAAAACCAATAATGTATTATCTAGTCATTCATATCCAAACAATATATGACAATTAATATAATAATCCAAAACCAAAGAACTTAAAATTAATTTTCTCAAATAAAAATACCATCCAAGCAAATAGAAAATAAGTGTATGAAACAAATGTTTTCCCGCTGAATAAAAGACAAGTATGGAAAAGAAAGAAATAAAAGAGGCATTAGTGTGGTTTTGTCCGTTGTGAACAACTCGCACCACCGGCCATTAGTATGCACATAAGAACAAATTAAATGATGTTAGTATGTTTTCAACATTCATAAACAATTGAAGATAAGTGTAACTTTTGTAAAACACACCTCATAAACAAGTTAGGATGATGATTTACAGTTGGATGAGTCAGGAACATTACTTCTTCCTGTAAAACAATTCCTTTAGTTTAATAATTGAATAGCAAGCAAGAAAGCAACTAAGTATATGTAAGTAAATAAAAGAAAAGACTTCATTAGAGGACATACCTTCGCCATGAGATAATCATCAGTGCCAATTAGATGATCCGATTTTTCATTCCAAATCTTCACGGCTACATCTTGAGCTTCACTACCATGTTGAAACTTACCTCGATACAATTCGCCAAATTGAGTTGATCCAATCCTATTTCTTTCATCAAAGTTGTTGGTGAATGATAGTAATTCCTTTGATGTGAATGCAAGAGACTTTGGCTTGCTACCCGAGTTTTCAATTTCTGAGCATCATCACAAAATCATATTACAAACAAATAAAAACAAACATACAAAATATTAGTAGAACACATCTAGTATTGTTCCAAAGGAAAAACATACATGTCATGACAAGATCAATTATAGGAACCATCCCTAGGGACCAGTGTACTAGTCTCATTAGATAATAGCAGAGCACACCACTTGGATATAACCCACTGCTAATTCAAAGTAATAGTGCAATGACCTACAAACATGGTTCCAAAAAATGATAAGTGTAGTAGTCATCATTTCCAAAATTAGTTTCCATTCTTGAATATACCTAGTTCCAAAGCAGAAGTCTTTTATCCAAACACTTCTCTGGGTTCCATGGAATCATGGTCGCAACACATGGAAACCTTTCATGGATGATTCAAATGGAACTTGAACTGGATCCCAAAACTAAACCAATGGATGAATGTATACCAAAATCCGTGTAGAGAAATTAGAGGGTCAAATGTAATAAACACGTCAGGAAAGCTAAGAATATGTATGTGGGACTCTTTCCAAAGGGCACCCTTTTTGTCAGACTTAATAACTCAACTCCCACACAGAGCTGATCAAGGGGCTCCACACACCCTCTTTATCAATCTATCCAATTCTACGAAGAAATGTTATAACTGCAGAAAATATTTGAATTTTATAGTTTGGATTAGTTAGGTGTAAAGGGAAAACCAAAAAACTGGCCTCTGTATTTTCCCGGTGGTAAGTTAGTAATTTACGTTACATTAAAAACTTAATTTCACTTGATTCAAGTTGATCCAATCCTTACCGAATAAAAAGCTAATGCAACCCTTAGAATTAAGCCCTAAGCCAACAGAAGGGATCCTCAACCCAAACCAAACCTCAAATTCACATTTAAGCTGCACTATATTTTTGCACGTGTGCATTTGTTTTCTTCCCATTTGGCATTGTGCTTGAATTAGGCAAATTAGAAAGCATTAAAAGTTGGAAAACCTATTACTAGACTTAAATTTATGTAGAAATGCTTCTTGCTAGGCATATCCTGAACCAAATAGGCCCTATTGATATCTTAATAGTTCAAATTCTCAACCCCCCAATGATGGATATATATGCCTAATAAATTCTACGGTAAAAACTAACGCATCTCAAATACTTAGTCAACTTTTCTGGCATGAAATGTATTTTTATCTTTGTTTTTTTTATAGGAAACAAAACTATTACTAATAATAAAGTAATAATTACATATCCAATTAAAGGTGGACAAGTCGTCCATCTCAAAACATGCAATGCCAAAATAAAAACAATAGCTAAATCAGGCCCTTTGAGCCATCACAAACCATCATCCAAAAAAGTCCAAGTACAATCTTCCACATGAGGCCACCAACTTGATGTGATACAACAAAGAAGATGAACATTATCAAATTCCTTTGTCATCGAGGCCCAAAATGAAGCTAAGAAATATATCCGCTCCCACATTCCTCCCACCACTTGCTCTTTATCTTCAAAGATACTTGAATTTCTCTTCAACCATATAACCCAAATAATTGCATCAATCGCACATAGCCAGAGGATAATACCCTGCCTTTAAATCTACACAAACCATTGATGAAACAGATTGCAGGGCTACCCAACACTGACCAACCATCTCAAACAACTTGTTCCATAAATACACCGCCGTAGTGCAATGAAGGAACACATGAGCCACACTTTCACAAGTCTTTCTACACATAACACACCATTGTAGACATTTGTTTAAGGCCTTCTCCTTTGAAAAATATCGCAGGTATTAATCTTCCCTGAGCAATTACCCATTAACCAACCTGCACTTTCAGAGCCCCTTAGCCTTCCAAATCTTCAATGCTGGATAAATAGAGGTATAGAAAGATTCATCAATCAATGACTCAAAAAAAAGACTTACATGAGAAAAAACCCAATGGCTCAATGACCCAAACCTTTTTACCTATCGAGTCTTGATTTAAAGTCACAAGCTCAAGCAAATAAAGTAAATACACTAATTCTGAAGACTCCTTATCATTAAGATTTCTTCGAAATCTAAAGTCCCAAGCGTGTGGAAAGGAATTCGACCTTAACAAAGAAACAACACTATGATAGCTGGATAGTTGAAAAATACGAGCGAATAAACTTGACGACGACCATTCCCCAACCAAAATATCCTCCCAGAAGCTAACACTCAACTCATTTCCCACAATAAACTTAAGCTTTTGAGAAAAATCAACCTAATACCTCAGAAAAAAGATTTAGATCTAAACAAAAATCGTAATTCTCGTTGCTGAGAGATACACAAAACCAATTGAATTACACTGCTTTGGAAGCCAATAAACAAACACAAGCAAAAAATAAGGAAATGGAAAGCAAGTTTTAATTTGTCCTTTCTAAGCGAAAAAAACTTAACCCTACTTCAGGCCAAACAATTTTATAAAACCCAATTGAGCTCATTGTTTCCTTTTTTTACACAACAAATCAACCATGATCAAAAAGTTGTGATTGTCAATTCCTTTCACTCTACTATTTGTGGCCTTTTCTAGCTTCACACGAGCCACCAGAGCATCATTCTTCATGTATTTTTCCAACAGAAACAAACGAAAGACCAAAACAAAGGAACAGAAACGTTTTAATCTTATATTCGAGACACCTTCATGTCATAACAATTTAACAGTCTTCTCTCCCTTTACAACTACGTCATTCTCTCTCTCACCACCGTACAAAACTACCATCGTTTCCCTGCAACTCGGCCCCTCCTTCAATTCTCTTTGTAACTACACAAACAAACCCACACGTAAGGGACTTCACTTTATGTTCGAAAAATACCTAACTTTTCAGAGTTGTCAATAGATCGTTGCCACAATATCTATCAAATGTTACACATCATTCTAATTGGCTCTTGCTACTCGAAGGTTTTCCCAATATTCAGCAAATGTACGCCTTCTTGGAGCATCAACATGCAACATCACAATCAAGCACACCCACACCTGTCTAGCAAAAGCATATCTGAAAAATGAAGATGGTGTTTTATTTGTATCTTAAAAAACGTGTTTTCTGTTTTCGGGTACAAAAAAATATGTTAAAATTTGTTTCGACAAGGAGTTTTATAGAACACTTTTGAAAAATAAGGAGATTTAACTAGAGATTTTAGGGAATAGATAAAATGCGTTTTAGATGTTTTGAAAAACAAGGATATTTAAAGAGAGATTTTAGGAAATAGGTAAAAGATATTTTAGATGTTTTTATAAAACAAAAGATGACAGAATTTTAAAAACACGGAGAACACTATTCCCCTTTTTTACTGTGCGCTTAAGTGGGTACTATAAAAGCCCATTCTTTTTTCTTTTCTCCTCCACAAAACACTTCCCTGCAATTTCCTCTCTCTCCCAATGGCCAAAGGAGACTCCAGCCTTCCTCTTCACTGTCAACCCCGCGACTAAGAGCTTTCCGATGAAGCATCCTCAACTAAGCAGTTGTGTATTGCTTCGAATCTGAGGACCCACGACTCAACAAGAAGTTGCGATAGATTGTGTTGCTGTAAACCCACGAAACATCCTAGATCAAGTTGTGGTAGAGCTTTCGATCGATCTATAATAACCCATACAAAAAAATAAATAAATTTAATTATTCAATTATTTTTATTATTAATTAGTGTATTGAGTAATAAGTGTAATTTATAAAATAACTAGTCATAACCCGGCACGATAAAATATAAAATTTGAGCGTTCAAAAAATCGATCTCACTATATTAAATGTTTTCAAAATATATTAATTACAAATTAATCAAATATTAAATGATTAAATATATTTTTAGAGAAATGCGTGATAGAAATGCGTGATGTGATATTTTTAGAGAAAAAACATATAAATGATTAAATATGTGATAGAAATAAGTGATGTGATTTGACGTTTAAGTTTGACAAAAAGATGATGGAAGAGGTAAATGATTGGTGATGGGTTTGAGGGAAAAAATATGACTGGGATAAAATTCAAACACATTTTTATTTTATTATATAAATATAATAATAGTTAAAGGGGACTAAATTATGATGAAAGAAAGTCCCACATGTTGCCCCAGATTTCCACACATAAAAATATACTATTCATACCTGTATTTGATTAGCATGCATGACAAAATTGTTATAAAGTTAAAAAAATATCATTGACCGTATTGGTAGCATTGGCTCTTGGTACATTCTATCACTTGAAAGAAAGAAAAATTACAACAAAATTTTTTTTAAATATCTAAATTATTCTTAGTTATATTAAATCGGTCTAAAAAAAATATATGTAGGATAATTGAAAGTTAAAAAATTAAAAAAAAAAAAAAAGTAGCTCCTAACCTAATTTTGGGATAAACATCGACACGAAAGTCTTTGAGCCTAAATATATAGTAAACTAAATCAATACCAATATTTTTTTTAAATTAATAACTAATAAAATATTATAAGAAAAGCAAGAAAAAAGATAAGTTAGTTATAGGTCACGACTATCATACATTTCTTTGTGTTTTATACAAGAAAAAAATTGGTTAGTTGTGAAAAAATTCAAGTATAAAAGAAAATTATTTTTTAAATTATTTTTCGAATACATGAAAATTTTTTTATATTTTCTACCATTATCCCGCTAAACAAACAGAAGAATGAAATATGTGTTCGGATAATCACTAGTTTCTTTACTTTTCGTGGTCCTCCACTATTCGTCAATCCCACCAGATTTAACATATAGGGGCGGAGCCAAGGTCACAAATAGTTATTATACATGCAAAGAAGATTTTTATTGGCGGCTTAATTATCGAAAAAAAAATTCTATTGGGGACCATTTTTACACTAGCAAACTTCTAAGAGAAGTAAAATACTACTATTCTAGGGATTCTAAAAATTTTAAGGGGCCATGGTGAAGCTCCGCCACTAGCTACTATAGGGAGCTAACCCATCCAATTTGGTATGCTATCTCCTCCTTGTTTCAAGCATCCCTTATATATTTTTTCTCTAAAAAACATCACATCATCTAATTCTATAACATGTTTAATCATTTAATATTTAGTTAATTTGTAGTTTAACACAACTTTTATTTCATACATTATTTATACACAATAGTGTACACATATTGAAAAAAATTTATTGAGTTATGCATTTTGAGAAAGTTTTGATACTATTTTTAAGAAAACTAGCAATGCAACACGTGCTTTAAATAGCGTCTCAAGTTTATCAAAATTATATTTTTATTGTTCGTATTATAGTATAAAATTTGAAAAATATTGTCAATTTCTAGCGATTCTTTGTTCAATCTATAAGAAAAAGATAAAAATAATTTATTTGATTAAGTTTCAACTTATAATTCATTAAATAAAATAACAATAATTATCAATATTTTAATCAATGCTTACTGTAATTAGAAATTAATTAGGTCAATAGGGATAAAATATAGAGTTAATAACACTTTAAGTCTCTAAAGTATGTATTTTTTGTCAATTTCGTCATCAATATATGAATTTTATAAAATATTCAATTCTTGTTTAAATGGCCCCTAATCAGATGGTCCATTAAATTTTTTTAACAAAAATGACTCTGTGTCATTCTGTTAGATAGTATCACATGACAAACACGTGATCACTTCTATCAAAAATTTAACAGATTGTCTATATATAGATCATTTAATTACTAACTAAATATTTTAGAGGCCAAATTGACAATTTTGATACAATTAGGACCAAAAAAGATAAATTATGCATATTTCAGAGACTAAAAGTGCAATCAATCCTAAAATATAATATATTACTCTACAATATATGTTTTAAAAGTATATTAAAATTCTAAAATTCAAGTTTTACTTAAAAATACACTATAATTTTTTTTATAAACTCTTAATAAAACATGAAAAGTTTACTATGATTGAAAAATTTTGTTAATTTAATATAAAT